ATTTCTCCCCATGTTATCCCTCCCCTGCCTCCCATCCCCTGCTGTCTCTCCCCTACCCCCAAACTGCCCCCAGTGTGTGATGCTCCTCTCCCTAAGTCCACGTGTTCTCATTGTTCAACACCCATATCGTAATCATTTCTATGCAAGTTTTATGCATGTTCAAATATGTATAAACTAAGAAAAAGTCTGAAAGGACATGTAGCAAAATGTTTGTGATTTTTTTTCTTCCAAGCAATGAGATTAAAGGTAATACTTTTCTTTTTTACACTTTTCTGTATTTTCTTAATCTTCTGTAATGAACATATAATTTTATGATCAGGAAAAAAAAAGACATTTTTAAGATGGCAAATTACTTCTCATTAATACATATAATACAAATGCCAATCAAAATACCAAAGAAACAGATGTGGGACTGGGGAAGAGCTTCAAAAAGGGCCACATGGGAGAGTAAACATTATGCAAAAGTAATGAACAATCTTAAAACAACAAAAAAAAGAGAGACTAATCTTATTCTACAAGATATTAAAACCTAATGCAAAGCCTGGCTAGCAACTTCTAATAAAATTGCTTTCATACTTTAAATAAAATACCTGCAAATTTAGAATGGAGACAAAGATAGAAATTTCTTCCCTGACCCATCACTAAGCCCATCAGATGGCAGAATGCAGAATCAGGTTGCAATGGACTGAACTTAAGACAGAAGAGGCAGTGGAGAAAAATCTTCCTGGGAGCTCATGGTATAATTTGCTTCTTGAAACAATGACATTCCATGAAATAAGGTAGGAAGATATTTCCTCTCTCACCAGCAGATCCCTAAATCACAGACCCAGAACTCAGAGGAAACAGGAAACAAGAGGCCATCTCTGCACCTCTCCACCACTGCTCTGGGAGGTGGGCAGAATATCATACAATCATCACAGTTCTTGTATTGAAAACCAAAATTGTAGACTAATTAAGTAGTTTTTTTTTTTTTTTTTTTTTTTTTTAGGCAGTCTCCCTCTCTGCCAGGCTGGAGTGCAGTAGTGGGATCTTGGCTCACTGCAACCTCCTTCTCCCAGGTTCAATTGATTCTCCTGCCTCAGCCTCCTGAGTAGCTGGGACTACAGGCACCCACCGCCATGCCCAGCTAATTTTTGTATTTTTAGTAGAGACGGGGGTTTCACCATGTTGGCCAGTCTGGTTTTGAATTCCAGACCTCGTGATCTGCCTGCCTCAGACTCCCAAAGTGCTGGGATTACAGGTGTGAGCCACCGCACCTGGCCTAAATAAATATTTTTTTAAATGAGAAAAGTTGGCCGGGCACGGTGGCTCATGCCTATAATCCCAGCACTTTGGGAGGCCAAGGCAGGTGGATCATGAGGTCAAGAGATCGAGACCATCCTGGTCAACAAGGTGAAACCCCGTCTCTACTAAAAATACAAAAATTAGCTGGGCATGGTGGTGGGCGCCTGTAGTCCCAGCTACTCGGGAGGCTGAGGCAGGAGAATTGCTTGAACTCAGGAGGTGGAGGTTGAGGTGAGCCAAGATCCTGCCGTTGCACTCCAGTCTGGGTAACAATAGTGAAAGTCTGTCTCAAAAAAAAAAAATGAGAAAAGTTATTGTTTATTTGATTTGGGGCTAGGGAAGATATTGCCAAGCAAAAATGGTAAAAAGAAAGAAAAAGAAATGATTAACAGATTGGCATGCAATAACAATATAATATCAAGTGTTGGCAAGAGCTCAGCGAAGTACATGCTCTCATGACTGCTGGAAAAATTGGTGTAATATTTATGAAGGGCAATCTGGCTGAATATGTTACAAGTCTTTAAAATGTTTATGCTCTGACTCAGTAAGTCAACATCTAGGAATTTTTCCTAAATAAATAATGAGAGAGATGAAAAAAGATTTGCAATATTGAAAGACTGGAAGAACATAAATGTTTAATAATACATATATGTTCAACAACAGGGGACTAGTAAATATGAATTATTTATATGATAAAATATATGACCTTAAAATAATGTTTTAAATAATATTTAATGGTAAGAATATGCTGAGAAAAGTTTAATCATTTTCAAAAAGTTAAATACAAAATGAAAGTTAATAACATGTACAAGCTTATTCTAATTTTTTTTTTTTTTTTTATTGAGTCTTGCTGTTGTTGCCTGGGCTGGAGGGCAGTGGTGTGATCTTGGCTCACTGCAACCTCCACCTCCAGGGTCTCAGCAATTCTTCCACCTCAGCCTCCCGAGTAGCTGGGATTACAGGCACCTGCCACCATGCCCGGCTAAATTTTGTATTTTTAGTAGACAAGGGGTTTCACCATGTTGGCCAGGCTGGTCTTGAAATCCTGACCTCAAGTGATCCACCCGCCTCGGCCTCCAAATTGCTGAGATTACAGGCATGAACTGCTGTGCCTGGCCTATTCTAAAACTTTTTAAACTTATGAGATACACATGTACACACATATATCTGGAAGAAAACACCAAAATAGTGGCTATGTTTTGGAGGGAAAATTGGGAGTGATTTTAATTGTCTGTCACTAGCTGCTAAAAGCATGCCAATATACCTGGCAAACTCCCACTCAATCTTCAGAACTCATCTCAGTTGCCACTTCTCCCAGGAAGTCCTGCTGTACTACCCACCCCCATATTATACGAGGTGTTCTGCTTTACACTAGATGGGATTCTGGGCATAACTATGATATTTTCTTTCTTTCTTCCTCTTTCTCTCTCTCTCTCTCCCCCCACCTTTCTTTCTTTCTTTCGATGCTGTCTTGTTGTGTTGCCCAGGTAGAAGTGGTGCAGTGGTACAATCTTCTCAGCTCACCACAACCTCCGCCTCTCAGATTCAAGCAATTCTCCTGCTTCAGCCTCCTAAATAGCTGAGATTACAGGTGCCTGCAAGCACTCCCAGATAATTTTTGTATTTTTAGTAGAGATAGAATTTTGTCATGTTGGCCAGGCTGGTCTTGAACTCATGACCTCAAGTGATCCACCCACCTCGGCCCCCCAAAGTTACATCCCAGCCTCCCTGGGATTACAGGTGTGAGCCACTGTGCCTGGCCGATAGTCTTTATCACTGTATTGTAGTCTCTGCTTTGATTATCTGCATCCCAACTACATTTTGAACTGCCCACCATCAGAAATTTGGGTGTTTCCCTTTGTATCCCAGTACCAACCTGTCTGCAATCTAACAGGCCTTCAAGTTGGAATGCTGGCTTCATGAGTGAAATAGACTGAGCAAATGCTTCTTTGTGCTCTGTGAAGTTAGAGGTTAAGGGGACAAATATGAATAAGGACAGGAAAATGCCAGTAAAAAGTTATCTCTTCTCACCTTGACCAGCAGGCTGGAAAGATGTTTAATTTCACTGATTGTCTTTAATAATTCTTGTCTGAACTCATTGCATGATGGTTTCAGTAGATCCAGAATACCATGCTGCTTACTAATGCATGAGACACATATGAGTTTCCTGTGAATCTATGACAAATGACCAAAAAGTTGGTGGTTTAAAAACATTAGAAATAAATTTTCTCACAGTTCTAGAGGTCAGAAATCTGAAATCAAGGTGTTGGCAGGTCCCCACTTCCTATAAAGGGCCTGGGGCATTCCATTTCTCACCTCCACCAGCTACCAGTGCCTCCACGTGTTTCTTGTGTGGCCACATCACTCCCCTTCAGCTTCCCAGCCCCTGCAGGTCAGGAAGGCACAGGAGGAGGAGGTGGAAATGGGTGTGGAGGGCCAGATACCAGGCAAGGGCAGCAGGCACTCAGAACACAGCGGCCTAGAAGTGGGGTACCAGGAAAGAGCTCCTCTCAGCCACACTAGTCTTCAGGGCCCCAGGCAGGCTCCCTCCTGCCAAAGGCCTTTGTGCATGTAATTCCTGCCTTCTCAAATGTTCCTATCCTCTTTGCCTCTGCATAGCAAGATAACGTCTACTCAGTCAAAAACTATCACTGTCTAGCACAATCCAAACATCCATAAGCAGAAAACATCAACAAATGACAGTCACGAAATGAAATATTATACAGCAATGAAAAAGAACAACATAGGACCACATGCAACAAGATGAGAGGATCTCACAGGTGTCATTGTTGAGTGAAGAAGCCAGATTCAAAAGAGCACCTTCCACATGCTTCTATGGAAGGCAAAAAGAAGCAGAATTAATTTACAGCAATAGGGCAGAGAAGAGTGGTTATTTCTCGGGGGAAGTATTGGATAGGAGGGGACAAAGGAGCATGAACTTGGTCTTCATCCAGCTTGAACTGGGGGCTGAGACTAAGTGCATCCATGGGCAAAAGTTCATCAAGCTGAACACTTAAATTTATTATGCACTTTTTTAAGATGAAAAAGTAAAAATAAAACAGGTCCCTTTCTCTGAGAAGCCTTCCCCCAGACTAGAGCACCTTCCCCAGGATGAGGAAGTGTGTGTATCTCATAAGCTTAAAAAGTTTTAGAATAGACTGGGCGCGGTGGCTGCCTGGGTTTGTGCACCCCTCCCGCAGGCTCTTGTCCTGCTGTGACAGTCTGTTTCCCCATGGATGGTCAGGTGGTTGGCTCCCCAAGATGGTAAGCTCCATTCAGGAAGTCTCTCTGTCTTCCGAGGGCCTGTATCTCCAGTGATCAGATCTTAAGCATCTGCTGCAAGCATGGGTGACCCCCATCAGGGAATGAGTCCATTCTCTGGCAATAGCAATGTGAGCCTTCTGCTTGCAATATAAGTTCGAAACCCAGGGCCAGTGAGAGATTGATCAGATTTGTAACAGATTAATCCTGGACCAGTTCAAGTTCTCCGGCTTTGAGATCTTGGGAAATTGCTCCCAGAATGGAGAAGTGGATCAACTTCCTCCAGGATGTAGAGAGCATCCCAGTCAGCCCCAGGGTGAGGAAAGAAGCCCACCCTCTCCAGTAGCCAGACAGGCCAGCAGCAGGGTGGTTCAGGGGCATGTGGATTACTTGGGCCTAATGAGGGGAAGAGGAGAAGGCACTGCAGAGGGGTCTCCTGCTGTCTTGCAGCTCTCCAGGGCTGAAGCTGAGTGCTGATCAGCTGGCCCTGGTCTATGGCACGCTGGGGCTCTGCCTGTGTGCCGTTGTCTGCTGCTTCCTAGTGGCGGTGGCCTGCTTCCTCAAGAAGGGGATCCCTGCTCCTGCCAGCCTCACACAAGGCCCTGTCAAAGTCTGGCCAAGTCTTCCCAGGGTGAGTGCATGGAACTGGTGTCCTCGCCCTTCTCGCTGCTCGGGTGACAAGCCTCAGGCTATCCCTCAGTCCTGTCACTGTTCCTGCTTCTAGGCGGGGAGACCCAGGGCTCATCCCTGTTATCTGATGTAGCTTGATAAGATCAGGTTCAGACGTCCTGGCAGGCAGATATCTGGGAGAGTGGCACCCGGGAAGGGTGGGTGTGGGGTGCCTCAGGCTGATAGATGGTGGCCTTAGCATTGTGTGTGGATGAATCCAGGAGGGGGTCCCAGGTGCCTGAACAGGGGCAAGGAGGAAGAGGAGGGAGAGATGGAGAGAGAGAAAAAAGAGACAAAGAGAGAGAGACAGAGGAGGGAGGGAGAGAGAGAGAGAGAGAGAGAGAGAGAGAGAGAGAGAGAGAGAGAGAGAGAGAGAGACAGACAAAGCAGAAGGTCCGGGCGCTCTGGGTCCCAGTTTCCAGTGCAGCTGTTAGGTCGCCATCACCTGACCACACGTGATAAAGTCCTGGTGCCTGCTGCTCACAGCCCCCAAGAGCCCCTCCTCCTGGAGAATAAAACCTGTGACGGCTGCCCTTCCTCACTGGGTTTTGGTTGTGTCTAATGAACGGAGACGTCCCGCCTATCACCTTCCTGGGCTCAAGGCTCCAACGAACACTGCCCCCTCAGTTTGGGAGGACCTGTGGTGCCCCCATCTCACCAGGCTCTGGAGGAAACTTGTGACTTGGGGCTCTGCTTCTCTCTTTCTCTAAGAGGGAGAAAGAGACCAAAGAATGGTCTGCGGGGAGGGCACCAGTGCAAACACCAGGGAACCAGAGGCTTCAGCTGTCTTCATTTCCTCACAGACACACATTCCCTTCCGTGCCTCCTTAGTGAAGGCATGAAGCACAGCGTGTGTGTGTGTGTATGTGCAGGTGTGTGCATGCTTCTGTGTGTGTGTACATGCATGTGTCTGTGCATGTATGTATGTACATGTGTGTGTTATGGGGGTGTGCAGTGGATGGAAAGGGAGGGCAGCTCTAGCTCAAAGTTACAAGTCTCTCTGAAAGAATGGTCGAGATTCCCTGGACCACAGCAAGAGACTTTTCATTTGCATCCACTTTTTATTACCATTAAAAGCTGTATTTTGAATAGCATGCAAAACCTTAAATTGCTTAACTATTCTTAGAAGCATTTTCACAGTAATTAATGTACATTGAAATTATTCACCCTGCACCCCCCAAAATTATCTTGCATACCTACACCCACCAAAGAGTCCCATGGCAGATAGGATGGGCAGGGAACCGCAGCCCACTGGGACCCCTCAGTGGGGGACTTGGTCAGTCCCCAAGGTTCTGCATGGCCCTCCAGAGACTCAGTTTCCCACTGGCTCGGTCAGCACCACAGAAGGTGGATGGCGGGGAAGAGTCGGAGCAGGCAGGACAGTAGCAGGAGGACAGCCAGGCACCCTATGCCCTGGTTTTTTGCAATGGCTGGGAGGAGGCTGAGGGCTGAAGGCCAACTTCCCTGAGAGCCAGTTAAGGCTGGAGGTGGGGTAGTGGGGCCATCTCCACTACCTACTGGGCCCTTAGTCACCCTTGTCACCCCAGGCTTCTCCTCAGCAGTGCTGGGGAGCCCATCAAGAGAGCGGCCAAGGCAGGGATATGGACAGACCTGGGGTTCTCATTTTTAGGCTCTGACAGGAAGAGGGTCACAGAAGGGCCAGGTGGCCAAAGAGAGAGTCACAGTCTCTGGGCCAGGCAGGATGAGGGAAGACAGGGAACAGGCAGGGTCAGCGGCCAGGGTGCAGGCAGAGGCAGGTGCATGCTGGGAGGTCAGACCCTGCAAGGCCTGTGTGGTGTGTCGGGTGGGACGGGCTCCTCAAGGCAGCTCTCAGGCCAGGCTCCCTGGCCTCTGGTGGGTGATGTGGTCACTCCTGAGGTACTGCTGTCTGTCAAGGCTCAGCAACCCACCCTGGGCGGCAGCCATCCTGTCTCAGGACTGGACTTGCTCAGCTCCTACAGAGGGTGTTGCCTCTGGCCCAGGAGGGGCAGCCCCATTGTGCAGCTGGAGGCACCCCACAGGCACCAAGTGGCCCCTGCCAGGCTAGCATCAAGCTCCCTCTTCTCTAGGATACTGGTGCCTCGCAGGCATCTGCTCTGCAGGGACTTGCTTTCCTTCCCTGTGCCTTCTCCGAGGCTGAGACTTAGGGTGGATAGGGATGGGCTGGTCCTTCCCTGGGGCCCTCTCTGGGAGGGGGATGGCTCCTGGCCTGAGCAGGCTCTCAGCTCTGCCTGGGTTGCCTTACAGTGATACAGAGCTGCCCCCCGTCAGTGTTCTGGAGGTGAAGGTAAGAGCCTGTGCCTGCTGCATGGGAGGCTGGTCCAGGGACAGGGAATTGGGCAGGTGAGGCAGTGGGGGTGGTCCACGGGCCTGGGTGGTGGTGGGCCACAGCTATCCTGGGAGGGGCAGCCATTCCTGCTGGACTCTGTCCTCTGAGGGTTTCACCAAAACCCAAACTAAGAACTGCTGGTCCAGAGGTCACTGCCTGTTTGCACCAAGTCCCGAGCCGAAGCCTGGGACTGACCAAAACTCAAGGCGTTTGTGTCCTGAAGATGGTATGTCCTGGCATCACCAGTCCAGACTGCCAGCTCTGGTTAGTTCAGAGGGTCTCAGCCCCTGGGGTCTGCCCTTTCCTGGCTCCTTCCCGTTGGATCCCTTCAGGGCCCTGAAGCCCAGGACCCAGCATCCACAGGCCACTACCAGAAGCCTGACAGCTCCGCTAACTCCATCATGGCCCATTTCACAGCAAAGATGTCAGAAACTAAAACTAAGAAGTGGCTGAAGATGCTCAGAGACTGGCCAAAATACAGAACAAGCGAGAAGGTACCATGGGGAGGGAGTGGCCCCCGTGACTGCTCTCTGCAGAGCCAAAAGACAGGCGCCCATGGCTGTGACCTGGCACCATCTGCCTCTCAGTGGGTGGGTGGCACCCCATCCTCACTACAGGACAGCAGGCCTGTTCGCCAGCTTTCCTCACTGGGGCCGCCCCATGTCCTGTCTCGCTGGAGTGTTCTTCTCTCTGTAGCTTACTCACAGAGTGTACAAAGGCATTACCCCGGTGGTGTGGGGCTGGGCGTGGTCACTCCTGCTAAACATTGACAAAGTGAAGGCTGAGAACCAAGGGAAATACAAGGTAAGGACCTCCTACGCTCAGCCAGGGAAGGACAAATAGGCCAGGGTGTGTCAGGAGCCCAGGACTCCAGCTGGAGGGAACGTGGAGCCCGGGTTGGGGGTGGGGGTTCTGGTCAGACGCACATCCAGGACGGACACTCACGCACCACAGGTGCACTGGGCTCTGCTGACCCTCCCTGGCTTCAGAAACAAGGCAAAAAGGAGCTTTCTGCAGAAGGAATCCTTCCTCCTTTCCTTCCAGAAGCGCCGACTGTGGGATGGCTGCTGTTTGGGGCAGGGAGTCTTTTGTCTGTTCTGAAGCTGCTTCCTCCTCTTGGTCCTTCCCTACAGGTCATGAAGGAGAAGGGCAAGAGTTCCTCCAGGATCATCCGCCGCATCAAGCTAGATGTCAAGCACACCCTCCAGAACCATGAGATGTTCATAGAAGGACTATAGGGGCTGTTCAAGTAAGGCCAATTGGGGCTGCAGGGGTGCCAGGGAAGATGGAGCAATCCAGAGAGAGGAATGAGGGCTTCCCCAGGGCAGAGGCCAGAGTCGCCCAGGAGGGGGTGACACCAAGGGCTCTTCTGGCTCCAGGTGGCTCCCAAAGAGATGGAAGGCAGAAAAAAAAAATCATACAGAATGGCGAAAAGTGCTCTCCATGACCCACAGGTACCCAGGGTAGGGACCCATGGGAAGGTGACAGAATGGCAGGGCTCGGGAGCCTTCCTGGGCAACACTAACAGCGCACAGTACCAGGGAGGATGCAGGGCCCGGAAATGCTCATCCATGGCTGGTGGGAACGCACCAAGGCAGAGCCACTTTGGAAGTCAGTTAGGCCACAGCTCACAAAGCTCAGTGGCCTCGTACCACATGTCCCCAGAGTGTCACAGATATTGACCACACTGATTTCAAACTGACATCCAAGTAAAACCCGAATGCCACGTTCACTGCTTGATTGATTGTCACTCACACCTGGAGGCTACCGAGATGATCTTCAACACAGGAACTGGGGAGGAAGGGGGTTCTGCTCTTCAGACAGACGACTCAGTGAAGAAAAGGAACGAACCCCTGATGCCCACAGGAACATGGGTGGATTGTAGATGCATTTTGCTGAGGGAATGAAGCCAGACCCAGCAGGCTACCACTGCAGAATCCCAGTTGTTAGATCCTTCTGGAAAAGGGCAAACCACAGAGACAGAGAACAAGTCAGGATGGCCAGGAGCTGACAGAGCTGGGAGAGGTCAGCTGCAAAGGGGACACGCTGGGGACTTGGAGGATGAAGGAGCTGCTCCAGGTGGGGCTGAGTGGTGAATGGGAGGCCCTGAACATTAGATCAGAGCTGTGGACCTGCACATCCCAAAGACTGGACTTCCATGTGTGCAAACCGAGAAAGGGGGGGAAAAAAAATCAACCAGAGTGAAAATGATCACTGATCACACCTGTGATATTTGCATTGCGAGGAATGTGAAAACTCAGATATCCTGAAAAGCTTGCTGCTTATTTGGGGGTTATCTGAACCTGGAATTACATTCATTGTCATGGTTTGTGGACAAAAGTGAAACCGACAGTATCCATACAAAGCAAACAAAACTCTCTTTTCCCTCTTTTCCAGTCAGCAGGAATTATGTGATATTCTCATGGCCTACTCTGCATATAACCCTGTGAGTATTCCCGGGCATCGATATTCCTGGGCCATATTCCCATATTCACAGGCATGGGTATCTCTTGGGGGTATCAGCACTTCTTGAAAATTCAGTGTTTGTGACCCACCAGGACATAGCAGGTGGGACTCAAACTCACTGCTGGCGTGGACATCCAAGCAATGGGCGGCTGAAGGGGTCAGCTGTGATGGAAAGGGGATGAGGCCCAGACTCTTGGTGTCATTTGCACCTGACCACCACGTCTCAGACAAAGAAATGACTTTCCCCTCCTGATCCCACACAGGATGGTCCTTGCAGGAGACAGGTTTGACAAGTTGCCGAGGTACCTGATGGGCCAGGCTTTAGTCATGAAATGAGTTTTCATCCTGTGGAAGCCTCTTCTTCACTAGAAACCAGTCAGAGATCCAATTTACTCTTTGTCCCAACCCCATAGGAGCACAGAAGACAGGGAGGGGTCACCCAGGTGGCTGCTCCTGCTTGGCCCCCACTTTCCAGACCATTCCAGGCAGGGAGAGCTGACTCCATGGGCTGCCCACACAGGGTCTGGACCCAGCCGCCCTCCTGTGCCCGGCAGGCAGCCCCTGGGTGTTGTAGCAGGACCTTTGTGTGGTGGTCAGAGCCCCGCCACCTGCCCTCATGGTGGGTGCAGTTCATAGGTGCTGCCCCAGGCCTGGCATAGTGGCCTCCCCAGCCTGGCCCAGGGGACAGGCAAGAACAATCACTGCCTGTGCCCTTTCAGGCCATGTGAGCTCAAACACTCACTGCAGGAGTCCCTCCAGGCTCCTTGTCAGTCCTCATGCCCACCCCAAATCCCTGGGGGCCTGTGGCAGGTGTCCCTGAGGACATCTGCCATCACTGGTGACAGAGAGGTGACATAAGGAGGACATCTCTGGTGTCCTCCTAGGTGACCTCAGCCCTCCCATGTGACACCCTTCCACAGTGACTCTGGCTCTTACAGGAGATGTGCTACCACAGGGACCTCAGGTGCATCACTGCAATCCTCCTCCTGTGCCTGCCAGAGGAAGATGCTTTCTAGCCACTGGCCCAGTGAGAGGCACCGCCTGCAGGGTGAGTGGACAGCTGCTCCAGCCATGCCAGGCGTTGGCCACCCTGGCCAGTGATCCTGACTTCCAGGCAAGGCACGTTCCTTGCATCCCAGCTTGTTTGGAGCCTCCAGGGTGTCCTTGCTGAAGGTCCCGCAGCAGCCTGGGTCTGGACAAGGACCCTTGAATCACAAGTCAGATGCCTTTCATCCTTAACATCAGAGGGCATCAATACCTTTTCCTGGCTGCGCTGTCAAGAAGGCAGCCCCATCTTGATGCAGATACCTCACCTCCCTGAGTGTCTTCCTTCCTCCCAGCTGGCTGTTCTCCCAGCCACCTTCCCTTCCTATGGATGCACCAATGATCCCAAAATGGCAATGTCTGCCTTTCCCATGTTCCCCAGGCTGACCTCACATCCAGGAGATGGTCACATAGCCCTCAGCTCCCACTGCGCTCTCCCACTGGTACCTGTCTGCCTTGTCCTGATTCATGGTGTCAAAGGCAGGCCTGCCCTCCTGACACCTTGGCCCAGAATGCCACAGGGCAGCCCCTCCAGGGCCCTCCTCCCCAGGGTTGAGGCCTCATGATGGGGTCATCAGCTAGGAGGGATCCAGGGTCCTCTGCCACTACCCATCAATTCCAGCTGATGTCTCCATTTCTTAGGAATGGGCTCTGACAGGGTGATGGGTCGGTGGCTTTTCAGTATTCTACAGCCCAAATACAGCCCCACTGCAGAGGCTCTTATCGCACCAGGAGCAGGTGTTGCACAAGTCTTTCCCGAAAATTATGAGACACCTGGTGAGTGAATGGTCCCATGGGCCAGGGGAGGCTTGAGCTCCTCATGGGGCTGGCAAGAGAACAAGTCCCAGCCATAGCCTGACCTGGGATGGGCATTTTCCATGGGTTCAGAGTTGGGTTTCCTTTTTCTGCCCTGGTGGAGGCAGAGGCGCTGGGACCAGGGCCAAGCTACAGCTGAGCAGGGCTGAAGGAAGTGTGTCCACTGGGCGTCCGCACATGGGGCAGGTGTAGGAGCTCTGGCCACCGCCCTGGGTTCTGTCCCTTGGGGAAGGGTCTGCAGAGGGGCCTGGAAGTGGGAGGATTTTAGGGAAACCCAGGTGGCTCTGAGCACCTCTGCTCCTTTCTTCAGGGCAAGGAAGGGCTGTGCATTGAGGGTTCCATGCTGACGAGGCTCCTCCAGTGTTTCATTGATGGGGTAAGGAGGCATGGGGAAACCCCAGCCCAGGGACCCTCCTGCCCCGCAGTGTCTGGCTCCCTCAGCCCAGGGGTCCGGCTTCCCCAGGAGGACCCGGCTCACCCCCAGCCCACAGAAGGCACAGGCAGATCCCTGCAGGGCACACAAGGCAGGTCCCTGCCTGAGAGGGGGCATCTCACAGCAGAGACCAGGGCTCAGGCCCAGCCTTGTGGGTGGACTGGGTCAGGACTCAGCTTGGGAGGGCCCAGGGAAGCCCCAAGTCCTTAGGAAGCCCCTCCTTCCAGAAATCAGTGCTGAGTCCCCCATAAGGAGCTGCAGGACCTTGTCTGACCCAGCCTCATGGGGGGTCTCATCCCATGGAGAGGGGCCTTCAGCACTCCAGGGGACTGAAACCCCAATGGGCCCTGGAAAGCCCAAGTCCTCCCATACCTGCTATCCCTACAGAAACTCTTCAGGCTCACCCTGCGACTGTGGATGTGCTCATCTTGGAGGGCAAGCCGGTACTGATGGCCATGGCACATGCATCATTCAAAATACACAGGAGTAAATCTTGTAGGCCTGAGGGTTCCCAGGGGAGGAAACACACAGGACAGACCCTGGCTGGCCTGACGGAGGCATTCCCACACTGTCCCCATGACTCTCTGCTGCATTTGAACAGGGTGGTCTGGCCTGGTGGGCTAGGCAAGGCATGATGACAATCTACTCCCACATAACCCACATGAAAGTCGGGAGTGTGATGAGCACTTCCCTGCCCAGCCTTCCCCAGTTGTGGCCTGTTGTGCACAACTAGACCCCGGGGTGGCCAAAAAGGACCTGCACCACCCAGTGGGAGGTGGGCCTGTTGGAAACAGGGTGTGGGCACCAACCCCTCCCAGGGAACCCTCCTGGTCTGATGCCACCCCTGTCCCTAGAGCACCTCATGAAGCTTTCCTGGAACATCATCCCGGAGTTTCAGGAGAGGCTCTCTCAGAGCTCGGCCCTGGAGGACAATGCCATCCTCAGGAACCTTCAAGCCTCCATGAAGGAACTCACAAGGACACACTGGGACCTGCCACCCCCAGGTGGGCTCCAGCACCAGATCCCCTCTCGAGTCACCCTCTGGGCAGTCAATGGTGGGGAGTGCCCTGGCCCCACCAGTCCTGCTACCTGGCCTTCTACCTCAAACGGGTCTACTGATCCTCAGGGCAGGTGCTGAGAATATGTGTGCTGGACATGCTGTGCGGACAGGCAGGGGCTGTGGGCAGGACCTCCCAACAACACCCCTCCCACACTTTCCATGTTGCTCCCCTCTCCCTTTCGAAGGGCCCTGAGGGACACTGGGGAAGTCAGACCCAGCTGTGGAAGCCCCCACCCCTACCTCCAAGCAGCAGGGACCCCCCCCCATTCTTGAGTGCTCCTCCAAAGGTGTCAAGACAACAAGACAGCGGGACAAGAGAATCAGTGTCCCTGACCCAGAGGATTTAGGCAGAGGGCATTGGGGGGAAGCCCTGACCCAGAGCCAAAACCAAGAGTTCAGCCGGGCATTGGATCGGTCCAGCCCCAGCATGGCGTGAAGGGCCTGGAGGGCAGAGGGGAACCCGTGCCTGGGGCCTTCTCATGCTCGGTGGAGACTGGCCCCCATGTGAGGTGGCAAGAAGGCTGGGTGACAGTGCAGGTCCCTTCCACCTGTGTTCTAAACTGGGGCTGCCGAACAGCCCTGAGGTGGGGGCGTGAGGCAGGAAGCCCTGAGCCACCCAGAACCGTGGGGGCCATTCCAGGAGCGACCTGAGGTTCCTCGAAAGCTCCCCTTTGCCAGACTACACACAGCTCTCGCACTGGGATCAGTGGCCTGCAGGGGCGTCCTCAGTGTCAGACTACGGGGCCACACAGGGACCCCGAGGACTCCAGAGACCCAGGCCTGTGGGGGGTAGCCCTGAAGAGACTAGATGGGCTTGGTGAAAATACTAACCATGTCTTTTTTTTTTTCAGCAGAACTCGAGTGAGGATCCTCGAGGGTGTCCCCTGGCATTGGGCCCCTCTGTGAGGGGGATAGTCTGGCCCTCCTCACCCCACCAACTCAGCTCCAGGGACTCATGCCATCAGCCTCCATGTGACAAAAGCCTTGACCTCCCCCAGCCTCACCTGATGGGGCTGCCCCAAGGTTGAGGCCAAGGCCCCTTAGCACAAAGGGGCTTCCCCAGAACCCAGGGCCAGGCTGCTCTCTGGGTGGCCCAGAGGATCAAGATGCAGCAAGCTTGTTTCCTGGTGAGGTCAGAACTTGTATTACACGAAAATACCTGTGCTGGAACTCTATGCCACGCCTCCACACAGACCTGGGTGCTGGCGGTCCATGGTTTCCCTACTACAATTTTGAACAGGGCTACTGGGCCCCTGTCGCTTCAACCTCTTACCTGGACAGCCCTGGAACCACAGGACAGGCCTGGCCCAGCAAGCCCACTGGGACCCTGACACCAGGCCCTGCCTGGGCTTATGACAGAGGAGACAGCTCAAGAGACACCCCAGCAAGAAGGTGGAGCCTATCAGCAATGCCCCTCGGTAGAAGAACAGGGCATGGAAGGACCCCAGGTGGCACCTGCGCAGCTGCCTCGCAGCCCCACATGACTGCTGGACCTTGGTTCTGGACCATTCAGTTGGGGACTTGGTCCCATCAAGGCCTCTAGAGGGAAGGCTGAAGGACAGCCAGGAGCATGCCCTGAGACCTCTGACCTCACCTGTGTGTGAATCCCAGGTCCAGAGGGGCCTGGCTTCAACCCGAGTCCTAGGAGGAGAAGGGCACCAGAGGCACCACGGGCCCCCACGGTAAACACACAGGGGACCAGGGCACTGCAAGCCCTGATGCTGTAAGGATTCACATCAGAGAACCAGAGCAAGCCAGGAGACTGTGCAGTAACGGGGATGTGGAGGGCTGGCTCAAGGGGGTTAACAGCTGTGAACACTGCAGCCTCTTCCCAGCCTTTTCACTGCAGTGCAGGCAGTCTGATCCCTGGAGCCCAGCCCAAAAGCACCCTGAGTGCCCTGGCTTGATATGCCAACATGCCACCTGGAGGCTTTGAGACCCCGTCTGCTGCATATCCACCTCACCACTGCTGATTGCCCCATCTGCTGAGAGACTTGGTATGGATTCCTGGGCTGGCACCATTTCCCAGGAGGACCAGCTGGCTGCCTGTGGGCAGGACACTGTGGAGGGGGCTGAGATTGGCCTTCACTGCAGGAAGCCCCTACCTGGACATAGACTTGCCGGCCCTACCTGTCACCATCACAGCAGCCTACATGGCATTGCTGCCGACCAGGGAGCCCCATCCAGGCCAGTCTGCCCTGGCTGCTGTTTTCCCTCCTGTCACCCTCTGTTTGACTGCTTGTGTCAATAAAAGAACTGGCCAGTTTCAGAAGAAAATGTGTCTTTATTATGATATAGGGGAGACTACAAAGCATTAGGGGATGAGGAGGAGGAGTCACACATCTCGTAATGAGAGGGGAAAGGAAAGGGTAAACATCTTGGTAAATAAAGTCTCCAACTACAGCACAGTCATTGAAATTTTTTTCTTTTTATTTTCAAACTTATAGTCAAAGAAACAGTCAAATTGTCAAAAGAACAGCAATTTTACAAATGAAAAGCATACATACCAAGTCATAATACAATAGCACTAGAGCCTACACCATGAACCAAGATAAAATTTGAACCCCCCCCACCTCCCCTGTGACTGTCTGAATGTGTCACACACATTTGGACCAGAGTGATTCCATCTTGAATAAGGTCTAGGTAAAATAAGTCTGACACTTCCTGGGCTGCAGGAGGTTACACATTCTTAATCATAGGATAAGATAGGAGATCAGCACAAGATACAGGTCACAAAGACCTTGCTGATAAAATAGGATGCAGTAAAGCTGGCCAAAACCCACCAAAACCAAGAGGATGGTAAAGTGACCTCTGGTTGTCCTCGTTGCTCATTATACACTAATTACAATGCACTGGCATGCTAAAAGACTCCCACCAGGGCCATGACAATTTACAAATGCCATGGCAGCGCCCAGAAGTTATCCTCTATAGTCTGGTCTTGTCAATGAAAAAGAATCAAACTCTGTAAAATATTTGAAGAGATTTATTCTGAGCCAAATATGAGTGACCATGATCTGGGTCACAGCCCTTAGGAGATGGTGAGAACATGTACCCAAAGTGATCATGGTGCAGCTTGGTTTTATACATTTCAAGGAGACTTGAGTCTTCAAACATATTTAAGAAATAAATTGGTTCGGTCCAGAAAAGCAGGACAACTTGCAGGGTTGTCGGAGCTTCCAGCTCATATGTAGATTTAACAATTTTCTGGTTGATTGTTGGTTGAGTTTACCCAAAGACCTGGAATCAGCAGAAAGGAATATCTGAGTTGTGATAAGAGGTTGTGAAGACCAAAGTTTTATCATGCAGATGAAGCCTCCAGGTAGCAGTCTTCAGAGAGAGGTTATAAAATGTTTCTCTTTTTTTGAGATGGAGTCTCATTCTGTTGCCAGGATAGAGTGCAGTGGCGCATTCTCGGCTCACTGTAACCTCTGCCTCCTGGGTTCAAGTGATTCTCTTGCCTCAGCCTCCCAAGTAGCTGGGACTACAGGTGTGTGCCACCATGCCCAGCTAATTTTTGTATTTTCAGTAGAAATGGGGTTTCACCATGTTGGCCAGGATGATCTCGATCTCTTTACCTCATGATCTGCCCACCTCGGCCTCCCAAAGTGCTGGGATTACAGGCATGAGCCACCACGCCCAGCCCAGACTTCTTAATATTTGGTATCTAACAGACTTTATGATGTACTTAAAGTAAAACAAAAATAATTTTTAAAAAAGGCAAAATACATATTTTTATTTAGAATCTATAAGATGTTATCAAGTATGCTATGCAAATTATTACCTGTTAACTTATTTAACCTCAGCATAGATTATTAGGACTGTTTGGCCAAAGAAGAATCTGAGGCCCAAATTGGGTAATCTAACCTTTTTTTTTTTTTTCTGAGACAGAGTCTTCCACTGTTGTCCAGGCTGTAGTGCAGTGGTGTGATCTCAGCTCACTGAAGTCTCCGCCTCCTGGGTTCAAGCAATTCTCCTGTCTCAGTCTCCTGAGTAGCTGGGACTACAGGTGCACACCACCATGCCCCATGTATTTTTACAATAGAGTTTCACCATGTTGGTCAGGCTGGTCTCTAACTCCGACCTCAGGTTGATCCACTCACCTCGGCCTCCCAAAGTGCTGGGATTACAAGCATGAACCACCACACACAGCCTATTTTTTTCTTTAAAATCAGGCCAGTTGCAGTGGCTCAGTTCTATAATTCCAGCACTTTGGGAGGCCGAGGTAGGAGGACTGCTTGAGGCCAGGGGTTTGAGGCCAGCCTGTGCCAACAAGCAAGACCTTATCTCTAAAAAAGTTAAAAATTTAGCCAGGTATTGAGGTGCACATCTGTAGCTACTCAGGAGGCTAAGGCTGGAGGTTCACTTGTGCCCAGGACATCGAGGCCACAGTGAGCTGAGATTGCAGGGGGTTTGTGAGTGTGTGTGTGTGTGGGTGTGTGTGTGTGTGGGGGGGTGTCTGTGGGGTGTGTCTGGGGTGTATGAGTGTGTGTGGGGTGTGTGTGTATGGGGTGTGTGGAATGTGTAAGTATCTGTGGGGTATGTGTGTGGGGGGCGTGTGGGGTGTGTCTGTGTGGGGTGTATGTGTGGGGTGTGTGGGTTGTGTCTGTGGGCTGTGTGAATGTGTATGGGTTGTGTCTGTGGGGTGTGTGAGTGTGTGGGGAGTGAGTGTCTGTGAGGTGTGTGTCTGTGGTGTGTATGTGTGGGGTGTGTGGGTTGTGTCTGTGGGCTGTGTGAATGTGTATGGGTTGTGTCTGTGGGGTGTGTGAGTGTGTGGGGAGTGAGTGTGAGGTGTGTGTCTGTGGTGTGTATGTGTGGGGTGTGTGGGTTGTGTCTGTGGGCTGTGTGAATGTGTGTGGGTTGTGTCTGTGGGGTGTGTGAGTGTGTGGGGAGTGAGTGTCTGTGAGGTGTGTGTCTGTGGTGTGTATGTGTGGGGTGTGTGGGTTGTGTCTGGGCTGTGTGAATGTGTATGGGTTGTGTCTGTGGGGTGTGTGAGTGTGTGGGGAGTGAGTGTCTGTGAGGTGTGTGTCTGTGGTGTGTATGTGTGGGGTGTGTGGGTTGTGTCTGTGGGCTGTGTGAATGTGTGTGGGTTGTGTCTGTGGGGTGTGTGAGTGTGTGGGGAGTGAGTGTCTGTGAGGTGTGTGTCTGTGGTGTGTATGTGTGGGGTGTGTGGGTTGTGTCTGGGCTGTGTGAATGTGTATGGGTTGTGTCTGTGGGGTGTGTGAGTGTGTGGGGAGTGAGTGTCTGTGAGGTGTGTGTCTGTGGTGTGTATGTGTGGGGTGTGTGGGTTGTGTCTGTGGGCTGTGTGAATGTGTATGGGTTGTGTCTGTGAGGTGTGTGAGTGTGTGGGGAGTGAGTGTCTGTGAGGTGTGTGTCTGTGGGGTGTATGTGTGTGTGTGGTGTGTGTTGACTCTGGACGACAGAACAGGACTCTGCCTCAAAGAAAAGCCCACAAAAATCAGAGTTGCCCTTGCCCTTGTGTTAACGGGCTCTCTCTCTATTACATCACCTACCTGGCTCTTAGGGGCACCTGAGTTTGAGACCCCTACTCTAGATTCATGTTACCAAATCCCCTTCCAGAGAATGTGTAGTCAGTTACACCACCACTCGGGATCCAGGAGAGAAACATTTTCACCAAACCCTGCTCAACACATTGACTCCCACATTTCAGTGAGTAGGAGAGTGAGGTTCAGAGACATTAAGTGACTTGCTCCAGGTCACACAGCCAGTCAGAGAGAGCATCGGGACTGGAGCCCAGCTCATCTGATCCTGAGACCAGTGACCTGTCCTCCTGCCACACAGGTTTCCTATAGACGGTGAAGCCAGAACATAGGGCTGGGAGCCCCATTCAAGGACTCTGACTCTCAGAAACTCATCACAGCCAGGTGAAGGAAGAGAGGAGCTCAGGCCCCTGATCCTGGGAGCAGCTGCCAGGGGTGCCTTCCAGCAACAGCGGTGGAAGAGCCCCACGCCCAGAGTAAAGTGAGCCTCTGGGTTTTATCTGGGTGTGGGAGTGTGCGTAGGGGGGGTAAAGTGTGTGTGTGGGGGTATGGGATGTGCCTGTGGGGTATGTGAGTGTGAGAATGTGTGAGTGTGAGCATCAGAATGTGTGAACGTGTGTGTGAATATGTGTATGTGTTTGTATGTTTATGTGTGCTTGTGTGTGTGAAAGTGTGTGAAAGTGTGTGTGTGTGTGTGTGTGTGTGTCTGTGTGTGTATGCCTGAGCTCTTTTGGCTAGAATGTTCTGGAGAGACGTTCTGATGTGAAATTTAAGAGACCTGGCAGAAGCAGTGGGGTGGGGGGATAACTGGGGGCACTGGGGAAAAGCATTCTGAGCAGAGGGAACAGCAGCTGCAAAGGCCAAAAACAGGAACCTGGGCTAGGATGGAGAGAGCCAGCAGTGAGGTCAGAGGGGTGGGGGGGCTGGGCAGGCGGGGCCTCCAGGCCGATAGGGGCTGGTGAGCTTTATTCTGAGCAATGCTGTGCATTTCAACAGAGTCAGCCCATGAACACCTCCTGGAGACTCCAGGAGCTTAGAGGAAGGAAAGATGGCTTCTGGTTTAGGGTGGAGTGGAGGAGAGGGGCCAAGGCGGGCTGAAGACCACGGATGGGCTCAGAGGCGGGAGATGGCATTGAGAGAGTGCCTGTGGGCAGGGAGGTCCCTGAAGACCTTTCTGCCACTGGGCACCTGCCCCTGGGCACCTGTCCTTGATAAGTTGACCGAAGTGAGGCTGGGCTTTGCCCTCTGGCAGCCCCATCGCTGTGGCCAGGTGTGGCTCAGTGCCTGCAGTGGAACTTTCTGGGATGGTTGGAGATGGTCTGTGTCCGTGCTGTCCAGAAGGCAGCCACAAGGCACAGATGCACTGCTGAGCACCTGAAATGTACCTGGTGGGCTGAGAAGCAAGATTTTAAATTTAAATCTCCACAAGAGACTAGCAGCCATCACATTGGAGTGTGCAAGCTACATGAATGGATTCTGCTGGATGGCTCCTCCTCCTTGGCCTTAGCCAGGTAGCACTCAGGTGGGCGCTACCTACCAAGAAGGGCCTTGCCTCACTGGCCTCTGCCATGCCTGGAACCAGCTGTTTGGTCTGGGCCACACAAAGGCCCCATTGGTGACTCACCACACCTCTCATTCCGAGTGAGTGGTCAGCAGATCTTTCCGTTCCACTGAGAACATGAGTTTCTGTGTACACAGGAGTCTTGGTCTTGGCTGCTCAGTCACATGGCTGCCCTAAACATCTGCTTCTCTTGTGCCAGGAGCGCAAGGAGCATATGTTCAAAACCAAGCCCCGTGCCACTGCAGATGGACTCACCTGAGATTAGCGCCTCTGTTTCCACCGGGAGCTGAGAATACTCAGCTTGCTCATTTGAACCCATGTGGTGACGTTTCTCTCTCTCTTCT